ATGTTTGGAACTTCGATTTCTGTTTTGGGGGGGTTTACGGGTTTTTTGGAGGTGTGGTCTTAAACTTTTGATCGGCTGTAAAACAGCCTGTTTCAGTTTAAGCGTTGTTTTCAATAAACCACATGCTCAAAAAATGTTTTGTCTCACTCCTGTTTCTTCTTGTTGCATGTTGAAGCTCTACTTGGAACCTTGTTTTAAAATTTGTTTGTTTATTTATTTATTTCTTTTATTTTTTTCCCAAGTGGTCTTACACTTTTGATCGGGACTGTATTTGGTTCTTACCATAATTAGAAGGTAACACAAAGTAAAACTTAAGGCCTTAGTAGTAGTATTTGCAGTTTGTAAAACTAAACTACTTGTGAGATGGGCACAGTGGCATGGGAAAGTTTCTATGAATACATAACCTATAAAAGATGACTTCATGGAATAACCTTTGTCTTTTACGATCTCAAAATAAAAAATGTTAAGGTTTGGTCGCCCTACACTTGAACTGGCAAGTGTCATACAGCTTGAAAAGAGTTTTTGTAAATCAGCTAAGAAGCTCTCTGTTTGGGCAAAAATCCATTAAAAACAATCTTCATGGAAAAGACTTCAAGTTATGTGAAACCTTCCCGCTATCTTAGATGCACTCCTCTTTAGAGGCCTGTCTATATACTTCTGATAATATTTAGGTCAGGGGACTGTGGGGGCCATGACAAAACTTTAAGCCACTTGTGATGCGTTTAAGATCATTATCCCGCTTTATAAAACATACTGTTGTGATGTTTGCTTCCATAGTTAGCTGGTATTTAACCGAATACATTCTTCCAACTACCAGTAAAACATTGTCTGTACTACTAGCTGCAACACAAGCTTAAACTATAATCGATTGTAAGCTCACTCTTAAAAGTTGAAGAAGTGTTCTTATTTCAGCCACTAAATTCTGTTTTAATTTCATCAGTGCACAGGAATTACTTCCTGTATGCATCAGTCTTGTGTAAATGTTAATTTCCACCCTTTAATGTTTAATTTTGCAGTGAGATGCCTTCTACTTAATGGGTATACACGACATTATATATAATATAAAGTCATGTATAATATTGTATTTATAAAGCTTTGAAATGTTCATGCATTTGCCTTTCCTTGTGTAAATTCATTTCTTAATGTCTCACAGTTTATTAAGAGTTACCCACAGGGTACTTTTTCCATTCATTTTTCATTCAAAAATTCTGTGAGAATTTTTTCTTCTTGCTTTTTACCTTTTGGAGATCACTTCATCTTATGCTTAGAAATTTTGAGCAAACGTTTGCATTTTACTGTTAATACACTAAAGGATTTACTGAAGGACTAAACACCTGTATCCATGTTTTGTTCGCAGTCCAACCCACTGCCATTATCTTTCCCTGACAAGTTACTATTTGACATGCATAGCCACAACTGCAACCTGGTGAGTGAGCCAGTCAGTAGGGAAATGGTGTGTGTGTGCATGTGACATGGACATTAACTTTTATTTTTCTTGTATTAAAGGTCTAGGGAGTAATGGATATGACAGAAACAACCACATTATACTGCTAACACAACTGGCTCTTTGCAAGCATGTGCACAAACAGCATGCTAACGCAAAGCTAGTGAAGAACGAGAGTAATGATAACGGAGTGGATGCCATCCCTAGCCTAGCAGTCAGAATCTAAACTTCCACAGGCTTGTAGCATTGTAGCCTCCGTTTCTAACTGTGTGTGTCAGTTTTGCTTTGTGTCGTTGGCTTTTCAAACAAACGCTAAAATAAAAATCGATTGTACGTCCTTCAAAGGATAGGGACTTCTGTCGGTGTGTCTGACTGAAGCATAAGGTTTATATTCTGAGATGGTCATAAACAAGACAGTAATGTTTAACTGTGTAACTGATTACTTTCTCTGGGGAGTAATGAAGTAAAATGCTGCATTACTTTTAGGAAAGTAATGTATAATGTATTAATGTATAATATGTTAATTTTTGGTCTGGAATAAAATATCGATACGATATATATATTTCCTGTCACATGTTGGGTAGGTAGAAGGGAGAGCAGGTCATCTGTTAATTGGAAGGTTGGTGGTTTGATCCCTGGCTGCTTCAGTTCAGGCCAAGATACCAACCCTAAGTTGCTTTCCAATGCATCAGTTGGAATATAAATGTGTTTAAATGTTAGATAGAAAGCACTTCTCCAGAGAAAAAGTGCTTGTATGAATGGGTGTGAATGAGGCATGTTATATAAAGTGCTGTATAAGTATCAGCCCATTTAGATGTTTTTGTAAACTTTTCCAGAGTTATAATGACTCCTCCAAGTCACTGAGGTTAACTAACCTGCAGTGAAGAACACGAAACTCACAAATGCAGGCTTAAGGGAAAGCTATACTTCCTGTTCATTGTATTGTGATACCATGGATCACATGAGATGTCTTCTGATGATTGCTATCGTTACACTGAAAGCATTTTGGTACATGATCCCACTAGCTTACAGGAATTAAAAGCTCAAATGATGCCTTGGGTGTTTTGGAGATTTCACCAGGGTACAACAGGCAACATTTTTGAATAAAACATTTAAAATAGCCATGCTTTTGTTGACGCAGTCAGCATTAGGATCACACCTTTATGAAAATATATTGAAGCTTGCATGTGTTTTGGCTCAGAAGAGCTCCTTTCCAAGGGCACACAGCAGGTGCTGGCAGATTGACATCTCACAGCAGAAGCACAGAGGAAAGAGAGCTGATGGGAAGTTGTTGGCAGAATGAATATATCTTGTTGGCATATGGGACACAAGGCTGATGTTTTGTCCCCTGTCTGACCGTGTTACACACCTCACTGGCGCTGGCAAAGATCTGTGCCAAGTTTTTTTCTTTTCTTCTCCAGAGGCAAACAAAAAATGACCTATTGTATCCAGATAAGAAAACTCAAAATGTTTCAGTAGGGTATATGCTTCTTTTATTGTTTGGTCGATATTAGGCTAATCATTTACTTGAGCCAACAAGTTTGAGTCAGGTTTCACTTGGAGGGTTTAAGTTTGATTACGGTGTTCACTGATCGTAAACCTGCATGTTTTTTGTCCTTCCCATCTGCTGTTTAGCTCATTGTGTTATGGAGAGGACCACTGATCAGTATCTTGGAATGGATCAAGATCAGTGTTGCTGTTAAGATAATGGATCATAATCCAATACTGGCACTTTGACTTCCTTTTTTATCTTGACTGATATGTTGTCTTGAGTTCCACTTCCTTTACTCTCAGTCCATAAATGATATCATAGCATTGGGTACGACGAAACATTTCTTTACTGGGGAAAATACGCTCCTGGATTAAGGAAATGCAAATGAGTTTGTTGTTTGATTTATACTCATTTTACTTGAAAAATAAAAAAATGGCTTGGTCTATCAAACCATTAAATACAGCTTTATTACCAAGATTTCGATTGTACAGTTCATCTTACTGACCTACAATCATTGGATAAAGTGCTTTACAATGGGCCATCATAGACTGTCATATAACTAATCCCAATACAGAAGGTGGTGTCTGCTATAAAAATTGTGACATGAATATGATTTGAATATACTGTATTCAATAGGATTTTGATTTATTTATTTAGCACTTTTTGAAACACTTTACAAAAAATCCGATTTCTGATCCAAAGTTGCACCGTTGCTTTGGTTTTTAAATTAATGAAGAAAAAGGACATTGTAATTTGAGAACAACTAGATGAAAAGTTGTTTTGTTGACTTTGGGATTGTTTGTAGGCTTAAAAGAAATTCCATGACAAAATCAGCCAGCCACTACTTGACCCTCTAAAATTGATTATTTTTGTACAATAACTTCATGTTATGAAGCCATGCAAAATTTTGCCTTGAAAGTAAGATATTTTTTTTAGTTTGTTTGAATGGCAGGACCTTGAAGTACAGATGTGGGTGATTCTTAAATTTGACAGCATCTTTTATTTTTTCCAGAATTTGTGAACCCTCCTAACCTCGTAGCCGTGTTACATTTTCAGGGCTGAAAAACATTTCTTTCTTTTGAAAGAAATCCAATCTAAGCAGTTTTACTCCAAATACCACAGTCTAATGCCAGAATCTTTTTCTCAGCAGAATTATTTATCTATAATCCCTTTTACACGTCAAAATGAAAGGATATATCATCGTTTTTCTTGAAAAACTGCACCAGCTTATCGTTGTGAAATGGTGAAAAAAAACACTGTTGCTCACTCTGCTGTTTCACAATATGAACTTTGCATGATTTGATAGGTATGCTAAAATGATTGTGCTAAGAATCAGATGATTTTTGAGAAGGTCAGGTGGAAACTGTTTTCAGATTTTGTTGACTTTAAATGGAATGACCCAGAAATTCTCAGATTATATAAATCAGTGTTTGTGCCCAAGACGCACTAAAGAGCATGGCAAAAATTTCTATTCATAACTGCAGAAAAAACATTATATGGAATAATTGGAATTACAGTTTTGATTGTCACTTTTAAGTGTAACACTTGCAATTTTATACTCAGCAATAAGTTCCCCAGACATGACTTTTCTTCACTCCTATATCAGATACTTTCACTCAATTCAATAAGTGTTCCTGCCTCCTCCTGGTGAAATTATTCATCATGTAGCGTATTGAATTAATATTGAGCATTTTAGATTTTAACTACAAATTTGTGTCAGTTGATAGTGGCAGCAGCTAGAACTAGACTGCCGAGCTGACCAAAGCAAGCAATTTGAAGATGACTCACAGTTAACAGACTTCCAACAAAACGTTCCACAACAATGATTGAAATCCCCACGACCGCTGCAGACTCAAGTGGTCGATCCTTTTATCCTCCTCCATGCATGGAAAGCAATATATTCTCTTCTCCGTAAAGCTGTGCGTACAGTATGGCCATAGTGTGTGGGTGTGTAATGGTGACTAATCCAATTTGCAGTCTTATTCTGGATCCCTAGTTGTCAGTAATCTCTGTGGAGAGAGAGATCCTCACAAACTAATCTTAAGCTTGTGTCAGCCTGCTGATCCTTGTGGTAATAGTTTTTTTTTTCTTTTCTTTCTATGAATGAATGTAGGGAGTAAACACTGGACAACCGTCAGTCTCACTCATCTGCAGTCTTTCAAAACTCAATCTCAAGTGTTAAAAAAAATAATTGAACTGTGGCTTTGGGCTGCTGAACGTGACACGGTGAAGAACGGGACTCATGGTGTTGACCTGGCACCGCTCAGCTATCCCTGATCCTCCTCCACCCATTCACTTACTCCAGAGGCTTGGGTTGTTTGTTGCCGCGGGTTACACTTGTTGTTGAACGCAATGTCGGAGCACATGCAGCTGTCCCTTGCCTTGTGCAGGATTGGGCTGTACACGGTAAGAAGATGCAAACATGCTGGTATTTGTTTGCTGGAGAACAGGAGGGATGCGGTCTGTGTGTTTATGTGTTAGATTGAACATACTACTACTAGTTTTAGTATGCTTTTAATCTTTCCTTGCAGTGCTTTACGGTTGGTTGATCACTGAATATAGAGTGCGCTCTAATGTGTATGTTGGCATAATATTAAGCTGGAAAAGGTGGATACAAGCAAAAAGACAGATTATTGTCTCTTTTTCTACCTGAGCTCCTAGCAACTGGCTTCAGGCAGTCTTAAGTGCATCATAGTTTTAAACGAATCCATCCATATTATTCAAATAGTGATAACTGTCAAATTTGTTTTTGAGTTTCTACTGCCATGTGACTTGTAAGAGAGATATTGGTTAACATAAATAGACGTATTTTTAGAAGCACTGCAGTATTTGGTACATGTTTTGAAATAGTTGTATTTTAACAGCAGCTGATGACTCACATTGCATTTTGTCTGCTCCTCTGTTACTCTCTCACCAGCTGGTAAAGCCTTTTCAATGAACATAAACAGAAAGGCTGATTCTGAAATAAGTGTTTAACAGTAAGCGTTTGTTTGATTAAAACGTCGTGCCTCATCGTTGACTCATCGTTTCAGCCATTCTTGAATCAAATGAGTGGGAATAAGTAGATGGGTATTAGGTGTATTGGAATTAAACTAATAGACCTTGTAAATTAAAATGTAGCAACTGTTGCTGATAATACTTTTTTATTGCTGTTTGACTGGCTTTTAATGTTTTCTTCTGTCAGTTTGCTTAATCCTTGAGGCACCATCAACATCCAAACAACAATAACAATGCTGCTGGGCTCTTAGATCTCTAGTTATATTAAGTGGTGCAAATTGTCCGTTGTACTCCTAGTTATTCCTGTAACACAGATTATGAAAAGTTTTTATTATATTATTGACTGAGTGGTTGGGACTAACAAAGGGAAATCTGTAGCAAAATGAAGTAAACTGCTGTTTTGTTTTGTTTTTTCCCCACACAGATTCAGCTACATGTAAATAAAATATTTCAATAAATAATGCCACTTGCAATATATTTTATTTGCGAAGTAATTGGAGGAATGTAATCAGCTGCCTCCTCAGTAAAGCTCTGTTGTCATATAAAGCGTTTATCTCGTCACAAATCACTTTGCAGCTGATTGTTAGATAAGCTGTACTTATCTCAAAATTTGAGCATTTACTGGGTCGCAGCAATCAAAACATTAAATATAACCCATAACAAAATAGCCTAAATATAGTAGCTCAGTAAAAATGATGCAATATGAAATGAAGAAATCGCTCAGTTAGGTTAACAAAAAATGGCCAATAACAAAGAGGAGTTACATAAAAAAACAAAAATTCTGAAATTGTGTAAATTAGTTGAATAAAGTTCTTAATAAATAAAAGACTATCTGGATGGGTGGATGAATAAACCACTAGGAAAACAAATACAGGTATTGTAGTGTGACAAGAAAAGATTTCTTGGATCTAACCAAGATCATGAACCACCCTGCACACGGCCCCCACAGCCACCATGCTTCAGTCCTTGTTCTGCTCTGGAGAACTGAGCATAGCAGCTCCAAAGCCAGAATTAAACAGACGTAGCTTTCAGGTCAGAAAAACAAAGCCATTTCGGAAGCGCTTCAAACCTGCATTCTGTGACAAATCCACTAGGTGGCAAAAGCTAAGTCCTGTCAAAGTCTTTGGGGAAATTGTGTCCGTTTCTGTCTTTTGGGTCATTCTGAGTCTATTTTGTAAATCTGTCATATTGTGCTTTAAAAAGGATGATTATCAGTGGTATGGTCATTGGCTAATGATTAGTGATTGATAAGCTGTGAGCAGTCAGACCTGCCCTTTCTTGTCATATCTACTTTTTAGAAACCAAGAGGAAGATAATGAAAACGCTGATCTCAAGGCTTCAAAGTGCAACTTAAGAAACCAGTGATTGATGTCTCAATAGCTACGCCCTCGTCTTATACTGTCTGTGAGCGGCACATGAACTCGTCCAAGTAAAATCGAGCTGTGAGAAAGGTTGAACTGAGGTTAAACTATTGTTCTGGGTCGCAGGGTTTATGTGTTGGGTTGTATCTCCTTGGGAAAGTTAGTCCGATGATCCCCTTCCTCTGTCAACACCGCTGTCCTGCTTTGTACCTGAACTTGAACCTGCTGTTGCTGTCAGCAGGGCGATTATGTTGAACCAAAATGTTTTAGTTAGGCCAACAAAAAAGCGAAGAAGCTGACTCCAAATCACAAAATGTGGGAAGATAACAAATTAGAGCAGCTGCACTTTAATAAGAAATGTACTCATTGTATTTCATTAACCAACAGTTGTTTTTTTTTTTCTTATTGATCTTGATGGAAAATCAGGAGTACTAACACATCTCACACAAAAAAGGAAAAAACACATTTATGTAGTAGGCTTAGCAATTCTACAGACAGTAAGTTGGTTCGTGCCATCATGGATACTTGGAGCATATTGTTTGGCAAAATTTGTTAATATAGCCCCATCTGCCTTGGTCTATGGGGGCTGTGTGGTGGGACAGGAAAAACTGACTCCTTGGACTGTGTGTGTGTGTCTGTGTGTTGATAAAGGAATAATAAAGCATGTAGAATTATTTTGATTAGGGAAACAGTTGTTCTGTTTTCTCTTTTTTTTTGCTTTTTTTTTTTTTGCATCCACAGCTGATAAGCTGATAAGAGATGGCTGATGTGAAATGCTACTAATAGAGTTGACAGTGCATTATGTTATTGTAATCATAAATGCTCCTCAACAAGTATTACATCTACCCAATGTCCTCATAGCTTCTGCTGTCTCTCACTAAACACGAGAGGTAAAAAGAGAGGGAGAGAAGCCCACAGTCATCATCTGATCTTTTCAGTCTTGTCAAAGAGGTCGTTGGCATGGCAGGCATGAAATACCTCCAAACTGCTGACCCTTTGCTGTTCTCTTCCTCCATGCTTTGCTAGGTCTCCCACTGGCATCTTGTGCACAACTGCTGATGTGTGAGCAGTTAAAAGAGAATAACAGAGAATTTCACAGAATCAGCATGTTGTCACTGATACCGGATTCATCTATTTGAGAACAGGTTTAGACCGATATCACCCAGCTATCAGCTCACGCCTTCCTTATCTCGAGTTACCTGTTTCTTTTGAATTGGACACATCTTCACTGAAACCTCTGTGCTGAGTCACTCTATGTCCATCTGCTTATTCAGTCAAACTTTTCCAATACAAACCATGTATCTATTCTGTTTTTATTACAGCAGTGCAGGTAGATGTTGGTTAGGTTCTCTGTAGCAGCAGGTGCCCTGGGATATTAGTATGTGGCCACGTGCTATGGGTACCATAGCTACTGCTCTTTGGACCCTTAACCATTAAGGGTCTAAGTGATCGCATTAGTCACTTCGTGGCTAACTCATTATGTTTTTAATGGAGTGGAAAAGTGTTTCTCATACATGCTGCTTCTAATTTTCAGACTCAGGTCACACTATTTAGATCAAGATGCTCAAGACTGCTTTGAGCTTAATTTGGAAAGAAAGGCTAGAGAGTGTGCACAAGATAATGGCAGCTTTACACCCAAGGTGGCCCATATAAGAAACCTGAAGCAGCATACTAATTCTTTCACATTAATGCAGGACTCACTGAACCAAAGTCAGAAAATAAGTCTTTTTATTGGATAGTAGTGAAAACTGTTTAAGGTGCTGTGTAAGAGATGTCTTTGTAAGACGCAGTAGATACGTTCAATTGTTCAGAATCAAAGTAAATAACCTTATAAAGGCAGATAAATATCAGAAAAACATCACTATTTAAAGAGGGGTTTCTCTTAAACTTTACTGATTTGTGCAGCTGTCACCACACTGGTAACACATGCATCGTTTTTGTCCCGGTAAAGATGAAATATTTTTTTGAGTATTTTTTCCCCATAAACCAAAAGTACTTTTCTTATGGTAATATCATTTAAGTTATCTGCTTTGTGTTTTTATGCACAGCAGCACATTGGCTCAGTAAACAGCACATGCACATCATAGAAAGAAGGTTTTAGGTTTAAACCCTCCTGGGATCTTTTCTGTATTAGGGCTGCCACAAACGATTATTTTGATAGTCGACTAGTCACCGATTATTTTTGCAATTAGTAGACTAATCAGATCGTGCATCCATTGGACGTAAAACGTACAGCTTATTGCACCAGCATGCGTCTGCTCTTATATAACTATCATTAGCTTACAGCTTTAAGTGTGTAAGGTATGTGCTAACTAAAAATAAAGACAAGATGATAGTTTGTTAAATTTTAATGAAATTTGTAGATTGTTTCGGTGAAGCTTAATAAACTCCTTGCTATCTAAAATATAACGGGACACCGGAGTATATTCTCGAGCATCTCACACTTCTGATAATCAGTTGTCTTCTTGATGTTTATTCAGCTGTGTAAAAACTATAACTTTAATCTCAGCCAAACCGATTTACTCAGGAACAAATAAAATACA